GTTTTCCAGCTGTTCACAGTTGGGCCCTGGGCTTGATGTGAAAGTCAGGCCATCCTTCTTACTTGGTTTTCACAGTTTGGCTCTGGGGTAAGTCTCCTAGTCTCCATCCAGCTGCTGGTTGGGCAGATCTATGCCACACTAAGCATATTGCCACATAAGGGCTTTCTCTTCCTGCCATGGCATCAGGAACAGCATCCAAGTCATAACATCCAAGAACCAAGGAGAAGAGGCCCCAAAGAAAGTTAACCTCTTGGTATCAAGGTGGCATGTAACTGCTTTAGAGTCTCCAAGCATTTGAGATCAAATGAGGGGGCTGTAGCTTTAAAAGTACAAAAGGAGGGCTGGCAACATGGCTCAGTGAGTAAGAGCACTTGCCACAAAAGCCTAGTGATTTGAGTTTAATGCTCAGAACCCACTCCACAAAGTTGTCCTATTATTATGTACCTATCCACTGTGGCATGTAATAATTAATTTTTTAAATGTGTGAGCCACATCTGTAAGCTTCTACTACCTCCTATATAAAGTGTCAATTGCAGCTTCATATCAACATTTTTGTTGTAGTGTCATTACTTTAAAAAAACAAGATTTATAGATAAGAATTTTGTTTTTATGAACTGAATGTTTGTGCCCCTTCCCTCAATTTATAAGTAGAACTCCTACCCCTAATATGACAGCATTTGGAGGCATGGCCTTTGGGACATATTAGGTAAGGAGGGTAGATTTCATGTCTTATAAAGACCCCAGATGGCTTTTTTTTCAGCTCACTGCCCTTACAAGACACAAGGAATTAAATAGCCATCCTCACCAAAGACCAGACCTCCCAACACCTCAGTCTTGGATACCAGTCTTCAGGACTGAGAAATGAGTGTGCATTGCTTGACCTGCCAATCTAGACTGTTAAAACAGCCGAAATAAGTTAACCTTTAAACTCCATTAAAATGCCCTGTTAAGTGGGCATTGCTATCATCATTTCAGACAGAGAAATCTGGGTCTCAGAAAGGTTAAGGCCACTATTTAAGATAACGTGAGCTTAAAGTAGCAGAGTCTTGGGTTCAAAACCAAAGTTGCTAATATCTTGCCCTGATGGTTGTTCAACTCTGCAGCTCTCTGCTGTCACTCTCCCTAATTTCAAACTAAGAATTATCACCTCTGAAATATTTGGGTAGACACATTTGAATTCTCACGTTCATGGCAATGTCAAATGTGGCAAGAGCCTTGCCCATATCCAGTTAATCAAATTATATATTTAGCTTCCATGTAAGGTTTCAGTTTAGGAAATAAGGCAGAATGGTACCTTACTTCTTTCACCACGACAAGAAACTCCATCATAATCATCATTATCATAATAGTCATCATCATCACCACCACATGTATTGAATATGTCTTTGGTACCAGACAACATATTAAGAGCCATATAAGATTTAGCTCAGGTAAGCCTCATGGTGGTAACATGTTTTTATTATCTCTAGTTTAAAAATCAAGTAGTTAAATCCTAAAGACAGTAGCCTGGTCTAAAGTATAACTGTAGTCATATAGAGATTCAAAGCTAAAACTATCTGATTATAGACTTTAAATCAATATTGTTAGTTTTTGAAGATAGCAGTTCAAAACCTGAATCAAGGTCTCACATCACAGTCTTTCATATAAATATTTTGCCTTTGCATTTTTAGCTCTCAGTGGTAAATAAAAGTAGTTATTACTATCTCAAATCCTTTGAATAAGCAGTCAGAAAGTAAATAAATACATAGAATTTCTTTTAGGAATTTGAATAGCAGGATATACATATAATAGACACTTCAATAAATTTTGCTGTAACATGAAGAATGAGCTCATTTTCAAATGTTGAGTCCCTGTTCATATATATATGGTAGTATAATCTTCTAAGTAGGGTTTATGCTACACATCACTTTAAGAAATGCTGGTACTTTAAGCGGATTTGAATAGCAAGCACTATCTAACATCAGTCATCATCCTTGGACGAAGTCATTTGAAAACCTGAAATTTGCTTTTAGAAAATGTACCTGAAAAAAGACTTAGAAAATGGCAGTGTTCACTCACAGACGAAGGATAACCTGAATACTTAACTCATAACCACTTAGAAGGAAAGACTTTTCAGCAGCTGTTTGTGTAAGTAAGGACACCAAACAAGAAAGACAATGAGCAGTGGTAGTATAACTCGGTGACACCACTTCCAGTACAGCCAGAACTGGCGGTAGGATGCAAGGGGCAAGTCTTAACTGGCACTTACCACCTCTGTGGATTAGGGTAAAGTGTTTAAACACTCTGAACTTACTTGGTCATTTATACAAGTTAAATGACAATCGAACCTATCTCAAGGGATTTCTGTACTTAATGAAAAACAGCTATGGTAGTAGTGGTGGTGGTCATTATAATGATGACAATTACGACAATGACCTCTCTGCTCATACTACCAAAGTAATGTGTAGATAGAACATAGGTCACATAAAGACATAACCTATTCCCTACTTCTGTTGTAACAGAAATCTTTCTCTTGAAAATTCAGTGCAGTTTGTCTATGTTGAAACCTTGATCTCCCCTTGTAAGGCACCCACCCACCCAATATGAAATCTAAGGAAGTGATAGGTGTCCTGGCTACTTCTCAGGCTAAATGTCAATATGAAATGATCATCTTTAGGGAAGGATACTATTTCCTATGCATCACAATAGCCAATGCAGTGGGCTTGAATGATACATTTTCACAGCTGGGTCCAGTAGCAGTTGAGAGAGTAGCACCGATTCATAATATACATTTTAGAGTTTGATGCTGCCATTAGATAAAAAGAAGAATTAAGTGCACGGGAAGAAGGGAGAAAACACTCAGGAAGTGACAACAGTATACCTGGCAGAGAACTGGGGCATGGAAAACAACTCCAGGTCATAAACTCACAATCCAAATTCAGCTGACAAAGATGAAAATGTAAGAAAATATAGAACTAGAAAAAGAGATCCCTTATAAAAAAGAATATCTAAAAATTGCAATAACAATAGATAGATAGATAGACAGACAGACAGACATATAGACACACAGAGAGACAGACAGACAGATAGTCTCCAACAGTGAATATATCATTACACCATTCTCTTGGCTATTACTGAAGATGATGTAAGGAAGTTTAAATTCAGTCTATTCCTTTTGAAGCTTCAGTGACCTTAGCTTATAAAATTAACTAAAGATAGTGAGATGAGAACATAAAAGACCTATCTACCAATACAAGAGGTACAGGGCCAGGGACTGAAAAGGAGTAAGATGGTTTAACCTTTATATAAAGAACTGCAAGAGAACACGGGCTTGCACTTCTGGGATGAAGACAGGTGGCACATAAGTATAGAGGCCAAATTCTCCCAGCTGATGTCACTGTGGTCATGTCTGGGACAGGTGTTAGGCTCTCTTCCTCTTCTTCCTGTAGAAAGATATTTCCTAAGGTCCGGGGAGACAGCTCAGAGAGTGAAGTGCATACCTTGCAAGCTCAAGGATGTGAATATGAATCCACAAAATCTTTAAAAAGCCAAACTTAGATGCAGGCTTCTGTAGTCTACCAGGATGGGAGACAGAGACATGAGAATACCCAGAAGCTCACAGGCCAGCGGGCCTAGCATGCACAGTGACTAACAACAGCAATAAAAATAACAGAGACCTTTTTCTCAAAATAGAGCATGGAGACTGACATGAGGTTGTCCTCTAACTTCTAGGTGTGCACTATGATACATGCACACTTGCACTCATATACATATATATGTATAAACACCACACATACAAAGAATACACACAAGAAAGACAGAAAGGAAGGAAGGAGGGAGGGAAGAAAGAAGGAATGGAGGGAGGAAGGAAGGAAAAAAGGAAGGAAGGGAGGGAGGGAGGGACGGAGGGAGGGTGGAAGGAAAGAAAGAAGGAACGAAGTTCCTAGGCAAGACAGAGGATGTCAGATAGAAAAGGCTGTGCCTGTATCTACTGTTTACTGACAAGGGCAGGTAGGGATTTCTTTGTGCAAAAGAATAGCTTTTTATGCTACTCCTGTGTCTAAAGAGGTCAGCATATTTCTCTGGATAACCAACTCAAAATATGACAAAGAAATATACTTAGGGTGGGATATTTTACTCTCCCACAGTTCAAAAGAAGAAACAGCAAAACAGCTTTGATCATAATGAAAGAAAGTAATAAGGTCCTAGAGGGTAGGAACCACCTGTGTCCTAGTAACTACCACACCTAATGGAAAAATGGGAAACATCAAGAATGCTGTCAAGTGCTGAATGAAAGCAAGAAGACATGGACACACCCTACATGAGACTACAACCTACAGACAGTGTATTGGCAGGTCTCACATGTTCTCCTTATTTATCTAAAGGAATGCTCTGCCTGAGTGGCCATCCACATTATGGAAAACAATGAAAATACAAGTTGAAAACAAAGTAATATTTCAAACATACATACAACACAAGTTCTTTGGAAAGTGACTATGGAGCATTTTACATTGAGACATCAATGTAGGGAGCATCATTACTTTGAAATGTCACTTTTGGCTTTAATTGGTATGTTCTAATGATAAGTGTATACCATTCTCACCAAATGAGAGTCTTGATGCATATGGGATCTGGGTAAAGGCTTCTGTGGGAGGTACACAGATGTATTATACAAACAACAACAGAATGCACATGTTCACGTGTGCTTACCACTCACTAATATAATACAAGACTTGACAGTGAATTAATTTGCTCAATACACCTGCCTATTCAGCATCATAAAGCCATCCCCTTTCAAATGTCACAGGGCAACCTATGCTGTTTTAAGGAAGACATCTGAAGTTTCTGGAGATTTCTTTCAAATTGACTGGAGGCATCACTCAGAATAGGACCACCTACTTGGAGGCATAATTTTAATAAAGATAACAATAGGCCATCTTGCTCACAAGGAAATTTATAAGGCTGTCTTTGCTTCCTTCTACCTATTGTGGCGCTGCTTTATCCAACTAGAAAGTACTTACTTCGGAGCTTGAAAGACACTGACAATAGACTTCTTTCCTTTCATTCCACAGTCAGAATATAAAAAGCCAAGAGTGATTCGGACAAACACCTCTGAGCAGTTTGTTGTGGCAACATCAGATAAAGAAATTCTGTAGCCCTGAGAGATATTTGATACATTCATTTGAATGTCAATGCCAAGCACCCTCTCCCAGCCACTCCACTGAAGCAGGGAGAATTGGTTTCAAACAGAAGACAGAAGCTGTCATATGGCATGTGACTTCATGGTCTTTTTACAGTTCCTGCAGAGGGAGAAAGAGGAAAATCATGTGTTTCATTGATTCAGTCAGAAATAGAGGTCACTTTCAGCTCCATCAGTTGACTTATGCAAAGGTACTACAGCTTTCCCCCAATTGTCAGGACAATGACGCTTCCCAAAAGCAGTAACCAAATTTTTATCTCCCTTCCAGCAACTAGAGCTTTATTCTGGGGCAATGATGACTTGGTATGGTCATGATGACCACAGCAGTAGCCCATGGTGTTCTTATTACTATGCAGGTTTCATGCAGAACAGCTCATCCACACCCCACGTGATCAGTCTCCCTCCTGGAGCTGTGTCTGCCTGCACCTTCACAATTGCAAAGCAATGTCTCAGTAAGAGGCTAAGCTTCCATGCTTTTCACAGTAGTGGCCTGTGGACATATTATCTTAAAATGCTTTCTCCTAAAATAACTTTTTTTAGCTGAGAATTACATGCTGTGCTGAAATAGGATGGCGGTGGGTTCTGATTATATCTTTTTCCCATTTTGGTTTTACTCTTAAGTACAGAAAATACCAGGTTGTGCCTCCAACTCCCTCTTTTCCCAGATACTAAAGGTTTAGTCAGCTGAGTCAAAAGTAAGCTGTAGTATTAAATTTCCACCTTTCATCTTTTTCTCCCCATTATCAAGTCCTATGTTATTTTGAAACATTTTGTAGTGTCATGTGCTCCTGAGAATGTATGCAAATGAATCAAGCCAGCAGTGTCTCCAGATACCAATGGGATTGCTGAAATGGGGGGGGGCTGGACGTCATTTAGTACCCTAAGCTGCTGGGGTCTCCCGAAATGAGTAGGCATGAGATGCTCAGCTCAGTCTCACATGCTTTTATTGCACTTCTGACAGTAACCAGGAGAAATTGGCGGGGTGGTTTAGGGGAAAAGATCTCGACAAGTACCAATTTCTTTCTTAGCTAAAAGCCAGGAGTGTCCGCAGCCTATGAGTGCCCCATCCTTGCTCAGAGGTCAGAGATGCCAGAAGTGTTTAAGCCAAAATATCTCTGGTTACATTATGGCCCCAGGCCAAGGATGTGAAAGGGGGATGGGAGAAGACATGTTTTTATTTGTGTGGGGGGTTTGTTTTTTTCTTGCTATCTCTTCCATTAAAGAGTGCCCTTCCTGGAAACTAAACTGAGGGCTGGACTAGATGCCAGAACCAGAACTAAAGAGACCAGCTTACCTTCTCTCCCTTCCTCCATCCAGTGAAACTTTATTGATTTCAAAACAATAACTTCCAACCCAACCTACTCCAGGGACTCCCAACCAAACCCACCCCAGTGACCCTCAACCAAACCCATTTCAATGACCAATTCTTGCTCTACAGGACTTCTGCCTTCTTCTTTCTCTTAAGGTACTATAATATTTTTTTTCTAAAACTCTAGGACTCTCTGTGGTCAAATTCAAATCAACAACCCGAAGCCTTACTGACAACTTTGGGGGAATAAAGCTTCTAGGACCTAGCATCCAAAAGCCATGAAAGGCCTCACCACTCTCAAAAATATTCTAATATTCCTATATCACTTCAATAGTTCTGTGGTGACGAAAAATCTGGTAGCAAATTAAAATGATCATTTTACAAACAAGGTAGAGCCTGATAGAGTGGCACACACCTTTAATTCTAAGACTCAGGAATTAGAGGCAGGTTGAACTCCATGAGTTCAAAGCCAGCTTGGTCTCCATATTGAGCTTCAGACAGGCCAGCCAACACTACAGAGTGAAACCCTGTCTTTTAAAAAAAAGAAGGGGGTGCAGGATAAGCACAGAAAGGGCTGAGAATATGTCTCAGTCAGTCAGTAAAGTGTGCAAGCCCAAGGACTGAGTTCAAGTCCCACAATCCATATAAAAACAGCTGGGCACATAATGGTGTATAACTGAAACCACAGCAGTGGGTAGGCAGAATAAGCAGATCCCTAGGATTAGGTGGCCAGCCATCATAGCCTAATCAGCAAAGCCCAGACAAATGAGAGACCCCCATCTCCAAAAACCAAGGTGAACAGCTCTTACAGAACCACACTCATGACTGTCCTTTGGCACCCAAACACATTTGCATACATATACACATATACTCACAAACACAAAATGTATAGAAAAAATAAAAGTAACAGTTATGATGGCATAATATCTTTAATATACTTAAGATGAAAACTAGTTCATATTTTTCCTTAGGACTGTCTCAAACCATGCCATAGCAAAAGAGATGATCTAAATATACCGGCAATTTCTGTTGACACTTAAAATTAGGCCATCAGCTTTTAAGGATCATATTTGGGGGGAGTAGAATTGAATATAAAATATGCTTTTAAGAAAATACAAAATTTTCATCCACTTAAAGATATTTTTAAACAGTAGGGTTAAATAAACCCTGTTTCCACTACTTTATCACACACAAAGAATTACATGCTTTAGAATGTATTTTAAAATTTCATTGAACTCAAAGAGAACTTTGTTGAATTTCAGTAAATCTCATATTTGTTTCTTTCCTGTACTTTGTATTTCTCTTCACTTCCCTCAAAATGATAAAGTCAATAATATCTTTACCAGATACAGGGAAATAGTCCAACTTGTTTTTAAACTATAATATATGTGGATAATTCTTTTTGAAGATATATTTTATTCTCTTTCTCTTTATCCTCTCTATGGGGCAAAATGGGGTTCACATGTGTGTGAATTCATTGTGTTTAACAAATATGTCTTACTACAAGAAAATAGAGAAAAATAAGATAGCCTTAAGAATTATTGAGCAGTCATGAGACCAAATTGCTACAAATTTCTAAAACTCGTTCATAGCATATGCAAACATTGAAAGCATTGATAAGTTACAGTTTAGATCTTAAATATCTCTAATTACTCCATTTAAGGCTTGGTTCCCCACTGATATCACTATTCAGAGTTGGTAGACCCTACAGGAGGTTGGGCCAAATTAGAGGGAGATCAGGCATTGGTAGCATGACCTATACTGTTACCTAAGCCCTTTCTCTCTCTTTAGGTATATGGATTACCTTGAAGTGAGCAGCTCTGCTCCATTAAATGATCCCTGCCATGATATTCCATCACACCATGCTCTAAGATAAAGGAGGCAAGCATCCAGGACTTTAGTTTCCAAAGACATGTGCCAAAACAAGTCTTTCCTCCATAGAACTTGATTTTCTCAGGTATTTTGTCACAGAGATGGAAAGGTAATGACCTAGAATGTCATAGAAATACACACAGCATAGAATACATTTATCACATACATATTTTGAAAGTACCATGCACATTTTTGGCTTGAGGGATAAATGGTTACACAATGGAAGACCATTAGTTGATTAGCATTTCTCTGTATTTACAATGCTTACACATTGTGTAGATGTTCTGTTTTCTTTATCCATTCAGGGAGAAATCTGTGCTGTTTCCACTGTTTGGATATTGTGAATAATTCTTTTATAGATATTTATGTGTACGTTATGTGTGTAAGCATGCTTTTAACTTTCTTGGCAATGATTCTGGGAAAGAAAAGAATTGCTGGATCACATGATAACTATGTCTGGCATTTTGGGGTACAGTCAAACTGTTTATCAGAGTGGTTGTAACATTTTCATGCCCATCAAGATATGTAAGATCTCTGATTCCTCCTGTTCTCATCAACTCTTTTTGTTTTCATTTTAGCCATTCTACTGTATATAAAGTAATATCTTGTTGTGGTTTTTATTTGATTTACCCAATGAGTAATGCTAAGCATCTTTCTCTATGTCCTCATTAAGAGTCTGTTTCTTCTTCAGAAAACACCTGCTCATATCCTTTGCTCATTTTTTTCAATTGAATTATATCTCTTGTTATTATTGAGTTTCAAGACACACACACACACACACACACACACACACACACACACACACACACACACACACTGGATACAAGTCCCTAATCAGATGGTGGCTTTTCTTCTATCTTCATGTCATCTTTTCAACTTTCTTAATGGTATCAATTTACATGTAAGGGTTTTATATTTATGGTGAAATCAACACTTTCTTTTTTTAACTTTTAACTTACAAATCAGTACACTGTCACCTATGTTTTTGTTGATGATTCCAAAAGTCTGAACTCAGTGCCATAAAAATCAATTTCTGCAAATTTCCCTTTGTGCTTATTTGTGTTATCTTTTACATTTAGATCTATGATTTTATTTTGAGCTAATTGTCAGATAGTAGAGTTCCAATTGTTGTTTTAGTTATCAGGAAGAGAAGGAAGAGGAAGAGGAAGGGGAGAGAGAAGGAGAAGGAGAAGAATTTATTGAAAAGAATGTTTCCCCAATTGAGTCATTTTGGCATTCTTTGTTAGAAACCAAATAACCACAAAATTGAGGGTTTATTTTTGGAGTCTGTCTGTCTCTCTGTCATGTGTGTCTTTCCATTGGAAGGTATTGTTTGGTTTGGTTTGGTTTGGATTGGTTTGGTTTGGTTTGGTTTGGTTTACATTGATTGATTTGTGGGAGGAAGAAGTCAGAGGAAAATTCCCAGGAGTCAGCTGTTTCTCCCCTCCACGTGAGTCCCAGAAGTCACAGAGCCTTTTCACAGGACCTATTTCTGAACTCTGATCATCTATTCTAATGTTAATACCACACAAACTCAATACTATAGCTTTTGAGTAAACTTTAAAACCAGAAAGTATAGGTCCTCTAATTCTGATTTTCCTTTTTGTGATTGTTATTCTGCATCCTTGATAGCTCGCATTAATTTAGGATCAGCTTTACAATTTCTAAGAGGAATTAATTAGGGTTGGAGATTTTATGAATAAGTCAATCATTTTGGTCAGGGTCTCACTATTAACAAGATTACCTTTTCAGTCCATGAGCATTCTTCCATTTGTTTTTTGTTGTTGTTCTTTCTACTTTCTTTTCTTGTTTTATTATTTTGAGTGTATAAGTTTTATACTTCTTTTGCTAACTTCATTGCTAAGTATGTTATTCATTTGTTGCTATTATAAGTGAGATTGTTTTCTTAATTTCATTTTGAAACTGTTCATTGCTAGTATACAGAAATAAAATTGATTTTGTATATTGATCTTGTATCTTGCCATACTGCCAACTCTCTTTATTAGTTCTAGTAGATTTTAGCAAATTTGCCAATGTGCCTTTAACTTTTAAATTATTTTGTTCCCTACCTAAGCATCAGTATGTGCTACTACTGTATCATAATTACCCTCAACAATGAGCAACTAAATCTTGTCTGCTCACAGCCCTTCTAAAGAACCCTGAAGGCTGAGACAACTCTCCTCAGGAAAGCAAAGCCAGGACATAAACAAGAAAATTTACTCCTTCCTTAATCCTTTCTATTTCTAGTGGTGAGTAAAAGCACCCAGTGTAGTAAAATGAAACATATGCTATGCTACTCAAACTCCTCTGCCCAGAATTACCTCGCTAAAATGAAGTCAAACAAAATGTAACCAAAAGTGGATCCTGACATTTCATGTTGTGTTGAATGCTGTTAGGGCACTGGCAATCACTCTCTCTTACATACAAATTAACAGCCCACCATCTGTCAAGTGTTAGGATAATCACAGGGTTTAGCACACAATATGGTTATTAGAATATGACCTGACAAAAAGAAAAAGAACACAACCTAATTTGAACTATAAAATCTATGATCTCACTTACAAATGACAGTTTGACAAGCTATTATTCTGCATTTTAGCTTCTACAACAAAAGCAGTTTATGCATATGTAATTCTACCAGTTATAGAGGCAAGAGTCTGTGGAAGACTCCTTCAAATAAACTACAAGAATATGCTTGGTCATTCAATATTTTAAACTAATTCTTAAGACAAATGTTTACACCATGAATAAGTGGGAATGTAATGATCTAAGTCCTCATCCATCCAAGTAAAGCAACAATCGTTGAGCAAAAAATGTCGTTGTGACATCGCTGCCAGCAATTCCCAGAATTCTTAGGGTATATGCAAAGAGATGAATATAGGAGCTTATTAAAACTATCCATGTGGACATACATCAAAGTCAAAAAGCTGACAGTTTTGAAAAGTGTAATATATGCAACTCTTTGGCATGAAATTTACTTCATCCCCAACAGTGACATCTGTTAACGAGCATCATTAATATTACCTACTTTTATTTATCCTAATGCCTCGTGGGTGCTATCTTCATGTGCAGACCTCTATAGTATCTTTTGTTCTCATCCAAGGGGGAAATCCCTTACTGACAGCTGCTTCTAATAGAGATGGCTGCAACAAAACTCTCCTCTCCTACTCACAGGGAAAACACAGGGAAACCAAGTTCTCTTTGTTGTTTTCAGCCTCTTGAAACACTGCAGGAATGTGTGGTACTCCTGAAGGGTATCTAAGGATATGCCCATTGTGTCTAAAACACATGCTTAAGAGAAAAATGAATTAATTAAGTCTCAAGGCAAAATGTTCTGTTGAGGTGACAAAACAAAACAGATTTTTTAATATTGGCAATTATAGTACCTGGGGAGCTTAAGTGAGATAATAACTATATAAAACATTTGACAATTCATACTGCAAATTATATTGCTTTGTTTTAAACTAACTCTCTTTTCCATTACTTTCAAGACTGTTTCATTTCACTGTATGAAAAAAAATGATACATTTCTCTGTCATGTTGGCTCAATATAAGGTGAGTCAGAGTGCCAAGGTTCCTCCAAAAATGATCTTGTGATCCAATTTTAACATGCATTAAGAATAGTGCATAATGAATTGTATGCTGCACAATCCACCCCAGTTTCCCAATACTAAAACCATCATGGATTTTCCCTAACGGAAAGGACCTAATGGAGATTTACCAAGACCTAGCATTCACAAGGCCCCAGTTTATGCCTCAACACAGAAAGGGAAAGAAACTCAAACATGAAAATATATAAAATTATAGAATATGTTTACATCAATGGATTTAGAATGAATTCCCCATAGCAGCAACCTTAGGTATAAATAAATATGAGACTGAGGGTCAGGGAAACATAAGGACAATCACGTAAACACATCTTCATTTACAGGGAAACTTTTATAAATAAGTCCCTGCTGCTTTCTAATTATATCAGTATCACCTATCAGATTATTTTTTTAATTCTTAAATTAGACTTATTTACTTATTTGTGGGGAGTGTGAAGAGAACAGAGGACAACTTGAGAGAGTGGGTTCTGTCCTACCATTTAAGTCTCAGACCCATGACTCAGGTTATCAGGCTTGGCAGAAAAGGACCCTACTGAGCCATCTCACCTGCCCCTCATGAGAATTTTTTCGTTGTTTTGATTTGTTTTTGTTTTGATTTTTGAGACAGAGTCTCAGTATGTAGCCTTGGCTGGCATAAAACTTGTTATGTAAACGACACTGGTCTCAAACTCGCAGAGATCAGCCTGCCTCTGCCTCTCTACTGCTGGGATTAAAGGCTTGGGCCACCAACCGAGCTCATGGTAAGTTCTTAACATAAAAGCTATTTATCATAACTTCCTAAGTGAACGAAGTAAACGCCTCTGAGAATTCTTTTTTCTTATTGAGAATTCTTTTTGAATTTAAAAGTTGAGTGCAGTATAAATACCAAATATATTTTAAAAATACAAAAGGAAAAGTATTTTAAACCTATGCACAAGAAAAATGAAAAATTAGCCAAGTAATTTATATAATACATAATTATATTCATTCAATTTTTGTTAATTTTCTAAATAAATACATGATGCCTTTTAATGGAAAGGAAATGTCCTTTGCACTGCTTCTTTTGAAGGTCTAAGGGGGTCATTTATATACAGTAAAATATGTGGAGTATAAATATGATGTCCCATGACAACTTCATACATATATACCCCAAGGATCTTCCACTCAGTTCAGGATTGTGTTGTCACTGGATACATTTCCCAGATCCTTTCCTTTATATAACTGGACCCAGACAGTATAGAAGTCTGTTTGTGGTTTCTTTCTCAACATGATGTTGATGACACGCACCAACACTGTAACGCATACTTATTGCTTACTCCTTTTATTGATAAATAGGATTCATCATACAACTATCCTACAAGGTATTTGAAATCATGTCCATTGATGGACATTTATATTTCCTCCAGTTTTTGTCTCTGTGAATAGAGCTGCCATGGAGATTCTTATGTCTTTTCACAGTAGCAAGTTATTGACTTGACTGCACTGCCTGCCTATTATGCTAATGAGATCCTATCAATAGATGAGTAGATT